CCCTCTACATGCGAAAGAAAACGTCTTTTTGTATTTTCCGGTGGCGCAAAGATCGACAAATGATATCGCCCGTATAAACATATTGAATAGTGGAGCTCCGGGACCGAGCAAAAATCCCGGACACATAAATGTCTTGTTTTTACAGCCGACCTTTGGAGACTGGGAAATGAAAAGTGCACAATGCACCCGAGGGCATTTTTATTAGGTCTGTGCGTTTGAACCGCTCGCGTCAGGCGCGGCCTCCGAGCGCGCGGGATACGAACGCGGCGTAGCGGTGTCAGACGTGTTTGGATGTATATGCACAAACGGAGAGGAGCCGGTGTGTCTAAACAGGGGGAAGTGTGTCACTCAAAACTAAGAAAACTCTGATTTTGTGGAGTCATTTATAGATTTAAAAGAAACATCATGGAAATTGTAAGTAAACGGATCGATATAGTTTTTAATGTTCTGAAAATAAGGAAGTTACGGGTAAATTATTAGTAAGTCAATCTAAAGCGGAGTGTTTTTTAATATTTGGTAGACATAAATTCATAACATACATATTAACACAAGAAAAATATGTTTTTTCAAATGTGTTTGACGATGTAGACATTATACGTGAGAACGTTGAATACACAACTATGAATCCATTACATTGAAATTGATAATCTAATAAAGATCATTTTTGACATGCGAGAAATTTATCTTTCTTAAATAAGAAAAATACTATTATTCGGAGGGATCCCTCAGTTGATCATGTTGGCACTATCTCGCAATTTCGAACAAAGGGCCGCTTGACGTACAGGTTTAGTAAAAAGATTCGCGATAGGATATAGATAGACGGTGCAGACGAATCAAGTAGCGAAATTGCATTAACTTTGTAGAATAATACGAGATTTAGGAGTGAAAGCAAGAGTGCTATGACTTGCCAGGCAATTGTAGCGACTTGTGGAAATACGACTAAGTGCTAGAAACTCGCAATAGTTTAATGAAACCTAATGAACCGCGAGGGCGGTACTGGGTCTAGAGTTGGTGACCACGCTGCGTAAGTGAGCTCGTTGTGATAGTGGGACAAAGGACTGAATCTGAGTAGTGCGGCACCGCCAGGGAGAATCTGAAATAAAGGAAGCAAAACGACGACGGGACAGCGATAATGAAATTTCGCACCGTTTTGTATTATCATCCAATACGACTCGGAAGGGGCCTTGGAGCACCTGGTCGGCCACCGCCGCTTAATCGTCACGTTCAGAGCTTGGGGTTGGCATAGGCCCCGAGGAGAGGTTGGCCATCCGATGCGGGCTCCGAGGCCGAGCCGAAGACTTCCGTCGCCGCCGGGGGGAGCCATCAAGAAGGGAACATCTGATGAGTACTTTTGAAGATTAGAGGTATCGGTGTAAAGTGTGAGCTCATTTGCATGTTTTGGTCCAAACGAAGGTTCATTCGTTGGTAAAATATTATTCTAATTTGTGTTTATCTAAGGGAACTAAAACGTTTTTTTGTTTGAAAATTTATAATGGAGTCTTTTCAATGCTTATGCAAACCTAGGAGGCCCATTACGAGGCAAAACCCCTGTCCTTTTAATTTATGTCGTGAACAGAACGCTTTGCAGGTAGTCACTATAATATATATATATATATATATAGTATTTCTTCTGAAGTACATTCTGGGGACATTCCTTGTACCGAATGAGGATACCTACGCAACATGTAGTGGTAACACTCGGGGGACGGGTGGATGGGCAGGACTACGCGGTGACTTTCGAAAAGGCAGGGTGGTCTCCACGGATTGGAAGTGGATGATTCGAATGCGAAAGCGGAGGCCGAAGAGGCTGTTGCCTTGCGTTCCTTCAGACAGGCGGCGGTGCCGGCGGCGCGGAAGAGCCGGGGAACGGGAAGTGTCACTTCGAGAGACGATAGCTGCCGAGGGGTGATCCTTGGAAAATAACGCTCACTTCCTCCTCCCTGCCTCCCAGCGCCGCCGCCTGTCTCTGTGCGTAGAGTAGTTCTTAAGAGGAGTTGGGGTCGATGGGTTGGCTTTGCAATGCGGGGCGGAAGGTTGGCGGGAGTGGGTGTTCCCTCGCAGGTCGCGCGGAGCTGACATATGGAAGGCGGAGTTTTTGACGGCGCCGTTCCTACCCCTCCCCCCCGTGCCCTGGCTGGCGGCGCCGTGACTGCACGCTGCGGTGAATTATGGAAGCATGTGGAATAGTGTCGAAGTTTCTCTGACGCGGGATGCGCGAGGTGAAAGACACGAGGTTTTTGCTGGTAGGTGGAAGTGTGGGGATGGATTTCGAGATTATGATTTTCTTTAGAAGAATGCTCTTTGATTAATTTACACTCTTGTCTAAATAACTTACAATGTTACGAATAGCGATAGTGAATTCGCTAAATGGGTATTTACGTTATGTCGGAGTAAACCTGAAAAAATATCGATAACTTGTTACTCCTATTTCATAATGAAGGCTTTTATTATAGAAATTTTACATTTTTTTAAAATCCGTTGCTATTTTATAATGTTTTTAACACTAATTAAACACTATATTAAAGATATGTTTTAATAGTGAAAAGACTCGACGGTTTCGGCTGTTCTATAAAGCGTTTTGTATAACCGTACCTCTCTTCTGAAGAGCACATACCGGATATTACATTTTTATGCACAAGAAACTTCCACACTTTAATTCGTTCTTGCCTCCAGAAGAAATGTTAGGCCTATAGGGGCAGCGATAAAACATGTTAGACAAATGTAAAAAATGGTCATTACTTAAAAATACACGAACGTGGCCAGGAATGGAAGTAGTTTCAGAAAAAGGGTTACTAATGATCTGTTTTGAATGAAACCAAACACCGTCGAGTAGCCCCAAAATGCGCATAAGAGCAAAACTATTGTGACAAATACCCTTGTTTAGTAAGAGAGGGTCAGTTACTCTTGACAGTATTGCCCGAGCTGCCAACATGGCGAAGTAATCTTTTATTATTGGCAATCGTCTTTTGATGTGGAGCTGATTTCTCTGGGATAAAGACATAAATCGCGTGTAGACGAGGTATTTAGAAAATATACGAATCTACTGGAACATTCTTTTAATAAATAAAAAAAGGAGCAAAGAAAATAACTGAGATCTACCAATCTGTTAACTAGTAATTGTTTTACGTGTACGTACTGTGATTGTCGTAACTAATATTCCGACGATGAATATTTACATAGATTCGTATTTTCAATTTGTTCTGTTAAAGAAATACAATGGTGTTGGGGAAAAAAGTGAAAAATATCTGTTTTAGGACTAGTGCACCACTAACAAAATGCTTCTCACATCAATGTTTGTAGTGACAATGTCACTCTTTTCTACTCTACCCCTCTATTTTTCCATTAAAATTTAAATAAAATAATAAAGAAGCTCAAGAACCGCACGTACTTAAATGTCGCGAACGCATGTGGCTCGCTTGTGCCTATTTGGTAATTTTATTTGTGTACGGGGAGGGTTAAGGCAACTCGTCAGATCGTTGCTATTACAACTTTGGATTCTTAACATTTAGGTTTGGATGCTTCAAGTTTCTTTGTATGAGACATCTTGCAACGAAAAACGTTTTCCCTACAGTTACGTTACGATAAGAAGGACTTCAGGGCCGAATGAGGCTTTGATCACCTATCTTCGTAAGTCGCGTGTACTGACTCCGCACAAGCGTCGAAAGCGGTCGTGGCCTGAAGCAAGCATGTAAATCAAAAAAATAATAACTAAAAAAATATAGGATTGAAGACAGAGTGTACTACCACACTGCACGTCGAAGCAGGGCAGCTGAAGGCGTTGAGGCGGGCCGGGCAGAGCGTGTGTCGCACCAGACAAGTGACAGGTGGCGTTGTGGTGCGCCCGGGGGATCAGCAGCCTCAGAGGCAGCCTCACTTCGGAGCGCACACGGGTCCGGCGCGTGGTTCTGCGCGAAGGCGGCAAGCGGCGCCCCTGCCACTCCTATCCGCGCTGCCCAGTCGAAGCCCGCGAGCCGCGCGCCCGCGGCCAGGGCGCCGCTGCGCGCGCCGCCGCTCCACGGGCACGCCGCCCAGGGCGCCCAGCTGAGCTCGGGCGCCGGAGCCCGCCGCTCCGCCACGCAGCCAACGCCAGCGGCGCGCCTCCATCACGGGGCAAGAGAACACGTTGCCGGGTCGGCGCCCGTCCACCGGCAGGTACGGGGTAAGGAAGAGAGAGAGCGGGGTCTGCCAACACAGAGGCAAACGCACAACGTTCCAGGGGTCTGGCGATCAGGGCGGCGCTAGGCTAGCGCCTGCTGACGCAGACGGGGCATGTGGGACGAAAGACAAATAACTGACAGAAGAAAGTAAGTAAGATGGGCAGGAGACCACCGCGTTAAAAAGGGCAGGCAGAAGAGCTGGCCTCATGCGGGTGCTGAATCTTTCATCGAATAAAAGACAATGTTATTATTTTCGCTTTATATTGGAGGAGTGGGCGGGGCCGCCGCTGCCGCCGTCGCGCAGAACCACGCGCGGGTGCGCTCCGAAGTGAGGCTGCCTCGGGTGCTGAGGGCGCACCACAACGCCACCGTCACTTGTCTGGTGCGACACAGCGCTCTGCCCCGCCCGCTCAACGCCTCGCTGCTGCTCGACGTGCAGTGTGAGTACACAGTCTTCAATCTATATTTTTTTAGTTATTTTTTTCTGTTTACATCTTGCTTCAGGCCACGACCGCTTTCGACGCTTGTCGGAGTCAGTGACACGGACTTACGAAGATAGGTGATCAAGCCGTCATTCGGCCCTGAAGTCCTTTTTATTCGTAACAGTAACTGTAGGGAAAACTTTTTTCGTGCAGATTCTCATACAGAAACTTGAAGATCCAAACCTAAATTTTTAAGAATCCGAAAGTTGTAATTAGCACGATTCTGAACGAGTTGCCTTAACCCTCCCCGTACACAAATAAATTACCAAATAGCACAAGCGAGCACATGCGTTCGCGACATTTAAGTACGTGCGTTCTGAGCTTCTTTATTATTTTATTTAAGTTTTAATGAAAAATAGAGGGGTAGAGTAGAAAAGAGTTGACATTGTCACTACAAACATTGTTGTGAAGAAGATTTGTTAGTGGGTGCATAGTCCTAACAGATATTTTTCAGCTTTTTTCCCAACACCATTTTATTTCTTTTAACAGAACAAATGAAAATACGAATCTATGTAAATATTCATTCGGAATATTATGTTACGACAATCACAGTACGTACACTGTAAACAATACTAGTTACAGGATTGGTGATCTCAGTTATTTTCTTTGCTCCTTTTTTTTATTTTTTAAAGAATTTTCCATAGATCGTATATTTTAAATACCTCGTTCGCGCGATTTTGTCTTTATCCCAGAGAAATCAGCATTCCACATCAAAAGACGCTTGCCAATATCATATTACTTCGCCATGTTGGCAGCTCGGGCAATACTGTCAAGAAGTAACTGACCCTCTCTTACTAAACAAGGGGTATTTGTCACAATAGTTTTGCTCTTATGCATTTTTGGGGTACTCGACGGTGTTTTGGGGTTTCATTTCAAACAATCATTAGTAACCCCTTTTTCTGAACTACTTCCATTCCTGGCCACGTTCGTGTATTTTTAAGTAATGACCATTTTTTACATTTTTCTAACATGTTTTATCCTGCCCCTATATGCCTACATTTCTTCCTGAGGCAAGAACGGAATTTAAGTGTGGAAGTTTCTTGTGATAAAAATGTAATATCCGGTATGTGCTCTTCAGAAGAGAGTACGTTATACAAATCGCTTTATAGAACAGCCGAAACCGTCGAGTCTTTCACTATTAACATATCTTTAAATATAGTGTTTAATTAGTTTAAAACATTATAATAAATAGCAAGGATTTTAAAAAATGTAATAATTTCTATAATAAAAGCCTTCATTATGAAATAGAGTAACAAGTTATCGATATTTTTTCAGGTTTACTCCGACATACGAATACACTTTAGAATTTCATATCGTATTCGTAACATTTAAGTTATTTTAGACAAGAGTGTAAAATTATCAAAGAGCATTTTCTAAAAGAAATCATAATCTTCGAAATCCATCGCCACACTCACCTACCAGCAAAACCTCGTGTCTTTCAGCCTCGCCATCCCGCGTCAGAGAAACTTCGGAAACATATCCACATGCTTCCATAATTCACCGCAGCGTCAGTCACGGCGCCGCCAGCCAGGGCACGGGGGGGAGAGGGAGGGGACGGCGCCGTCAAAAAACTCCGCCTTCCATATCAGCTCCGCGCGACCTGCGATGGGAACACACTCCCGCAACTTCCGCCCCGCGATGCAAAGCACTCTACGACAGAGACAGGGGTGGCGCGGGAGGCAGGGAGGAGGAAGGAGGTTATTTTCAAGGATCACCCTCGGGCAGCTATCTTCCTCTCGAAGTGACAGTTCCGTTCCCCGCTTCTCCGCCGCCGGCACCGCCCGCCTGTCTGAAGGAGACGCAGGCACAGCCTCTTCGGGCCCCGCTTTCCGATTCGAATCACCCTTCCAATCCGTGGAGACACCCTGGCCTTTTCGAAAGTCACCGTACCTGCCCATCCACCCGTCCCCCGAGTGTTACCACACATGTTGGGCGTAGTATCCTCATTCGGTACAAGGAATGTCCCCAGAATGTACTTCCAGGAAGTAAAATTACTATATATATATATATATATATATAGTGACGTACCTGCAAAGCGGTTCTGTTCACGACATTAATTTAAAAGGGACAGGTGTTTTGCTCGTGAATGGGCCTCTAGGGTTTGGCATAAGCATTGAAAGACTCCATTATAAATTTTCAAACAAATAAACGTTTTATTGCTTAGATAACACAAATTAGAATAATATTTACAATCGAATGAACCTTCGTTTTGGTACCAAAACATGCAAATGAGCTCACATTTACACGATACCTTAATCTTCAAGAATCAGTTGTTCCTTCTTGATGCTCCCCCCGGCGGCGACGGAAGTCTTCGGCTCGCCTCGGAGCCCGTCGGATGGCCAACCTCTCCTCGGAGGCCTGCCTTTCCCCAGCTCTGCGTGACGATTAACGGTGGCGCCAGGGCTCCAGCCCCGGTCGTTATGATGATAATACAAAACGGGTGCGAAATTTCCAATATCGCTGTCCGTCGGTCTTTTGTTCCTTATTTCAGTTCTCCCTGGCGGTGCGACTACTCAGTTCAGCTTTGTCCACTATCACACAGTCACTTACGCACGTGGTCACCAACTCTGACCAGTACCGGCCTCGCGGTTCATTAGTTTCATTAAACTATTGCAGTTTCTAGCACTTATCGTATTTCCACAAGTCGTACAATTGCCTGCAAGTCATTAGCACTCTTGCTTTCACTCCTAAATCTTATTTATTCTACAATATAATGTCAATTTGCTACTTGTTCGTCGAGCGCGTCACAGAGTTTTCGGAATCGGTTTTTTAAACTGTACGGTAAGCGGCCCTTTTGTTCGAAATTGAGATAGATGAACTGAGGATCATTTACTCAATAATAGTATTTTCTTATTTAAGAAAGATAAATTTCTCGCATGTCAAAAATGATCTTTATTATATTTATTTTCAATGTAATGGATTCATAGTTGTCTCAACGTATTAATGATCAATCGTGAAACACATTTTAAAAACATATTTTTCTTGTGTTAATATGTATTTTATGAATTTATGTCTTACAAAATATAAAAACACTCCAGCTTAGGATTGACTTACTAATAATTTAACGTAACTTCCTTATTTTCAGAAATTAAAACTATATCGATCCGTTTACTTACAATTTCCATGATGTTTTCTTTAAATCTATAAATGACTCCACAAAATCAGAGTTTTTCTTAGTTTTGAGTGAACACTTCCCCCTGTTTAGACACACGGCTCCTTCCGTTTGTGAATTACCCCTCCGCAACACGTTACACCGCTACGCCGCTTCATCCCGCCGCGCTCCGGAGGCCGGCGCCGTGGACGCGAGCGGTTCAACGCACGGACGCTAATAAAAATGCCCCTCGGGGGCATGTTGCACTTTTCATTCCCAGTCTCAAAGGTCGGCTGTAAAAACAAGACATTTATGTGTCCGATTTTTGCTGGTCGCCGGAGGCTCCACTATTCAATATGTTTATACGGGCGATATCATTTGTCGATCTGCGCCACCGGAAAATACAAAAGACGTTTCTTCGCGATGTAGAGGGAGAGGCTCGGTTCTCTTTCGCGAGAGGAAAAATAGAGAGAGACGAAGAGGTCTATGCATAGCTAATGCAACCTCCTCGGTGTTCAAACACGATTTTTTACATGAACGTTACATACAAAAGCTCACGCTGGTCGGAACTGTGTATCAAAAACAGATTTCGGTGTCAATATTTTATCCGGAAACGCATTGCTTGCTGCGTCACATGTAAATATGGCTGAGGCACGAGGGCGGACAGACAGAGTGCAATGACAAGGGCGGACGCATGGTTGGTGAGTAGGGAGGGAAAGTGGATGGTCGCGTGGTAGCATAGGGCACAGTGCGGGCACAGGGGGTTAGGGAAGGGATCGCATGTGTGTCACGCGCTCCACGCCAGAGAGCAGTGGTGTCGGGCGTTCCCCTGGGAAATACGCAGCCGCCGTGCGCTCGTCACTTCCGCCCGGGTCTCTCGCACGGCCCTCCCTTCCCCGCCCGCCGCCGCCGTCGCCTCTGGAGAGCGCGCACTGCGTCCGTTGACTCTGTGGACCCCGTGGGTGGACCCCCTCTGTGGACTCTGCGGATTCGTAAGACTTACCAACGTTACACTTATACCAGGTAGTTTTATTAACTACAACGGTCAATATATTTGTAACTGATGATGATTCATAGAGAGATAGGGGCGAGAAAGATTTCCGTTATTTGCTTTAGTTCCGAAGTTATTGAATAAACCATGTATCATGCCGTGATATAAACTTTATTTCACTCTTTCTCTTCAACCGCAAAGCATTTTTTCTTTTGTAGGACAAAGCATTTGTCATGTGCGAGATTTTCTCGCCCACGTTTCAACAGCGAGTGCTTCATCAGAAATCTTAAACCATGAAACTTGCATTTCTAGAGAATATTCGTTCATGTGTTGTAGAAAACTATATTTATAAAGGAATTCTGATAAAACGCTTCGTTAAAAAAATCAAGAGTTATATAATCCTTTTTGGCTATTACAAATCCTTTTATTTCAAACTCAAGTCATATACACGAAAAACTAATTTTATTAGTTGTTGGTTTATTATTCAGATTACAGCCCTCAACCAAACGTTACACAACTTTTAGGACCATTTGTGTAATAAAAAATAAGGGAACGTAAGTTGTCAATTCAATTATATTTAAAAGAACAATGAATTTGTAGAAGTAAATTCTAAAATGATTATTGTAATGCACAGCGAACGCCCAATTTCATTGCAAAATTTCAAAATAGTGCGATGTGATATCTACAAAGAAAGATGTCCAGTGTCATTTGATATATAAAATGGTTTTAGAAAATCTTAATCAATATAAAGAGATGTGATACTGTTGCTTTCCAGCTATAATATAGTTTATAGGTAAAATAAATGAGCTTGTACGATAGGTGTGTACGTAAGATTGTAAATAAAGAGACTATTTGAAAACAAATCGACGACCAAAA